AAAAGCTGCAGCGGGCCAAGCACTTCTTCACCAGACAAACATCTGCAAGGACAGTAAATCCCCGCTCAAGAGATGGATGTCATGTAGGGAGTGAAGGGTTTGCTGATCTTTTAGATGTTGGATGTTTGGCACAGTTTACAGACATTGTCCGGGTTTTTATGCACAAAGTGTTCCTATTCCTGCTGCTTTTCCCTTCACTAGATTAAAACCTCCTAAACTCTCACAGTCTGTCATGTTTGATTTTGAGAGTATGCCTGAGTTTGGAGCATCATGTGAATATGGCAAAAGAAAATGGGTGAAGCGACTGAAAAACTGACGTAATAAATAACACGCTTCTTCACTGAATCTGTCTACACTTGAAGTGAAGTTGAACATCTCAGAAAATTCACTGATATGATTGTTATATAGTCCTATCTGTAAATAATAGAGTGAATGTTCTGAGATGACGTGCAGCTTTGACGCATCAAGTTTTACAACATATAAGGTGCTTATATAATGCTTGAATATTCAGATCATTCTGAAAAATTGCTAATATATTGCTTTCTATACAGAAGTTCATTAAACAACATAATATCAATCAGCTTACATTTTAGACATTCTCTATTTTTGCTCCACCAATGAAAATAGTTCCAAACAAAACCGAAGCAGAATGTTGCAAGCAACAAAATATGCATACTTCCCTACTACACAGTAGGCGATAAACAGTATTTGAAATTAGTAGTATGTGTAAATTCGTAAGTATTCATAAAACAGAAGGCAAAAGCTACCTCTACGATCTACTATTTCTAATGAGGTTCTGAAGTGTGCATCTAATGGACACTTCACTATCCCATGAGGCCACAGCAGAGGATTTATAAATGGCAGCGAAGTGACGCAACTGACCCTGGTAGGTCACATGACAATGACAACATGACGAATGTCTATCTGGATTACATTCATACTACACATATTAATACTATATACAATTTACTTTTTTCATGGTAACAAAGTACTTATTTAAAAGAAGTAGTGGTATTTCAGTTCCTGAATGAATTTTAACAAATCAGTTAAATGAATGATTCAATTACTCATTCATAAAGTCAGCTGCTTTTTTTGTTCCTGAACTGATTAAATTAACAATTAAACTTAAAACTCCTAAAAATAGTCATTTGCCTCCACCTCACTGAAAAATCCGCACCACTAATCCATGACTGGCAATCTGGTTGCAATAATGGTAGTATTGCAACAATTATGTTAAGAAACAAGTAGATTAATTATTACATTTTAAGTAAGAATTATTTTAATTTTAAAAGTACAAGGATAAGAGGCTGTGTAGTGCATCCAAAATAGAAAACGGCCATCCACAATGAAGACGTGCTAAAGCAGTGTAGACAGCGTCATTGATTTGATTGAGAGTGATTTAGTGTTTATGCATCACAACGTGCCACTCGTGTTTGATATAGACATAGTGTGACTGTCCCAGGGATGGCCTGACTCAGATTTGTCAGATCCCACATAGCCTTCACTGGCTGACATCAAATTGATATTAAAACCTTTCTGTTTAGTGCATGCAATTGGACCCATCAGTTGGCCGTCATCAGTTACGGGACAAGCCAACACCCAGACAAGAATCAGGCCTTCTCCTGCAATCACTCCCACATCTCAGTTGATCAGTCTGCAGTGGCGGTTCGTGGGTTTTAAAATAGAGGAGGCACACTAATTGTATTGGTCTGGGATCCC